CGTTTTATTCGTTGTTTTTTTTCCAGTATTGATCAAGTGAACAACCTGAGAGAAATCCAAGCCATGAGACGACTGAGTCCGCATGGAAATGTGGTTGAACTCAAGGAGATTATCTTGTAAGTAAACATCTGTTGCTAGATAGATATTAACGAACTCGAGCTTAGAACGGGAGAGTTCAGAGTAAGCTAAAGCTTGTGATTCGTCTTTGATCGCTTGCGGATCGAGTTTCGTAGTTCGTGATCCGAAGGTTTATAGTTACATGCAAACTGAACGCAACTCGTAAGAAATCAGCTAGCTAAACATTGCAAGCAGCAAAGTTTGTACATGTTTTTAAATACGTGCCGCTATATGTTATTTGGGATGTTTGAAAAATTTATTTCACTTATTAAAGCTTGCATGCAGAGATGGTTCACCGACCGCACAGACCGGAAAAACAAAATATCATTAGCCTATCTTGGGCTATATAAACGATTGCTCTTATCTTTTGTTTTGTGATCTGCGGCGTAATACTCTTGTTGAAAAGGTCCTAAGAATATTTCATTTACTGTCGGCCCCAAAGAAATTGGAAACATGATTGATTTGATTATTATTTTGGAATTGAGATATTCATACGATACTAGGAAACAGCCGGCTATATTGTCTTATTCATGACTGTTGTCAAATGTAATGGACACTGATGGATATTACCTTGGGACTTGTTCCTCTTTTATTGGTTGGTTAATAATCTTTTGCAAACAATAGAAAGCTCAGTAGTATCAACAGAGAATTTTATGTTCCTTCCTTGAGAATTTAGGAAGCGTGTGGTTGCGTACTGTACAATGTCCATTTAATTTTCTTTTGTCAGCTTAAATCAAACCAAATATGGTGCTAGTTTGTCAAAGTTTGAAAGCTTGACCTTAATGTACAAACAAAATTTAGTAAAAATATATTTATTCTTGCACTGACTTTATTTAAATATGCCACTCCTGATAATTGATTGCCATTCACAAATTTCATTTGAAGCCAAAGTTTCAACATGTTTAAAAGCTTTTTGTTTGAATGAACAATAAATTCTATTGCTTGCTGATTTTTATTACCTGAATTTCTGACATAGAGTTCTCTCTCTGTTCATTGTTTTTTCTTTGTTGCGTTGTTTTCTGCGAATATTTAGTCGCAAGGGTGACATTGCCATTATATCTATTTTTCAGGTTACTTGTAATTTTTATTTCATCATCTGAAAATTCGGACAGAAAACAGTACAAAGTCTACAGGCTCTGGTTTTTAAAAAAAAATGTCAAATGTGAACTGAAGTTATGGTGTATATTTAGATACAGTTGAATCCTACTCTGCCTTAGACAGCGATTCCCTTGAGTTCTCTTTCTGATAAATGAGAGACACTTGAGAGGAAACCTCTGCTCACAATCGCTCTTTTGTTTGATCCGTTACTGTCCATAAACAGTGATGAATATGTTAAGAGTACTGGTTTTTGTCAAGTTTGACAGATAGAATTAAAACTGCTGTCCATTTGTGAGACTGCCATCAATATCTGCTACCCTGTAACTGGTTAAAAATGACAACGGGCAACACTACACTGACATGGTTTTGTCGCATACTTCTCAAATTAAAAACTTGTGTCCAATGAATAATTGCCATTCTTTGATCTTTTGCTGTTCACACAGTTCCAGAATCTATTGTTGTAATATGTATTAGCTTCAACAAGCTAGTCTAGTTATTGTAAAAATGAAATAAACAGGCTAGATACCTAAACACAGTTTTGCTAGATCTGTTATACTTGAAATCAACTTCACCATGGTTATGTCTCTGTCTCTGTGTGGGAAATACAATGCTTTAATTAACACAGCTATTGATTATGTGTAACCAATTTTATTGAATTTCTATTTTTGACTAAGTGAATATTTAATGTAGATATAAACGTAAAACATACATGTATACAGGAAAAGCCAGCTAAATATATTAAAACTTTTAAATAAATAAATATCTTAATTGACTTTTTTCCTGGATGGTGCTTCTCAGGGCCAGTAAAAACAAACAATGAAACTGATACTGTTAATGAATGTAACATGGTTAAGAATCCCAGATGGCAGGAGGAAGACCAGTTGGCTATTTTTAAGCATGGCAGAGGAATTGAATTGAAGTCTGACGCCCTAACCATTTGACTATGCCACAGCCTTTTAATATTTAATATTTAAACAACTGGATGCTTAGGCTATAGGGTGAACCTTTGTAGTCAGGGGCTGCCTGTCCACATCTTATCCTATGGTAAGCGAAAAAAAAGAAAGCACTTTGAATTGCTAACTTCTCAATTGCATTTTTAATTTTAAGTGACAAGAAGAATGGAGCGTTGGCTTTGATTTGTGAGCTGATGGATATGAACTTGTATGAAATGATACGAGGTATTGAATGCTAGTAAAAATTGTTTAATAGTTGTACTGTATTTTGAAGTTGCCTATTTAACATTTTGTTTGTTCCCAGGTAACCTCTAAAAGGTGAAGTTGCAAAGTTACAACACATTAAATAGGTATGCTCTTGTCTTCCCTTTAGGACGACGACACTATTTATCTGAAGTTAAAGTCAAGAACTATATGTACCAGCTATGTAAATCTATTGACCATATGCATAGGTAAGGTACTTTGTCTTTCAGGAAAGTAAGTTATACATGTGAACAGGAGATACATATTTGTGTGTGCTGTAGTACTCTACATTGACAAGAGATAAATTTTTGTATCCAGCATTTTTCTTCTTGAAAAATCATCCTTTGACTAGGCAATATTTTATGGCATGAAATGTGGCAGAATGTATATAGGAGGAGCACAAACAGTGTGTCAAAAAGTAAAACCTCTTAGGAACTGCCCAGCAGACTCATAGCTCTTAACACTAACTATGGTTTCTGTAGCATGAAGCTACTTGGAGTACAAGCATATTGCTACTCCCTATAGATGGGATGTTAGTCCCTCACAGGTTACTGCTCAGCCTTCTGTCAGGTTGCTCCAATAACTCACCAGTACCCATTTATATTCCTGGGTGATAAGTGTCACTGTGAGTGTGAAGTGCTTTTCCCAAGAACACAACACAATCGTGCTGTCAGAGCTGAAATGAAGACCACCTGATCGGGAGTCCAGCGCACTAAGCATTAGGCTATCGTGACTCTCACACAGCGGTGTGTTAAACCAGTCTCAAAAAGTGCAAGTAGTAACATATTTGTTTTACCCTTTCACACAAGTTATGCTTTACTGTCTGCAGTGGGATGATAAATAACATACATGTATTACCAAAGAGGCATTGGACAAGTGTATTGCTTAACTTGTTTCATGGAATAATCTTTTTATTTTATTTTAATGTAGGAATGGAATATTTCATAGAGATGTCAAGCCAGAAAATATATTAATCAAGGTGAGTTTTTTAGTACCCAATACAATGAATCTCAATATCTCAATTGAAATAGTAAAATTAAACAAATGTGTTGATGTAACATGGCCAAGTTAGTTCACCACATAGTCAATCATTTTGATAAACAATTAAGCTGCAAAGTCCCTTCACAAAGTTGTGAACCGAAACAGTTTTTGAACCCCAATTTTTTTCTGATAACATTCTATCCCCTTTCCCTTAAAGATGCTCAATTAGAAAACCAAAAAGTCCTTTGCTTAAAACTTAATATGTGTTAAATGCTTTAATTTCAGGATGATGTTGTAAAACTTGCAGACTTTGGATCATGTCGTAGTGTTTACTCAAAACAGCCTTACACAGAATACATATCAACAAGATGGTAAGGTAGTGGTACTTAACCAGTCCTTATAAGGATGGGAAACACACCCTGCTAATGTTGCATGAGAAAATGTTTTAACAATCTTCACTGGATCAACTGCAAGTTTCTGTCTAAACAAAGAATGAATCTACAGTGATAAAATGGAACAACTCATTTCCTCTGAACCACTCTAAAAAGGGGTTTGAAGGATGGTTGTTGTACATGGAAGAAAAGTCAGGGCTGTCAATAAGGGCCATAACCTATAACAGCTGCTATGACTGAGTATGTTTGATGGGCCCTCGAAGTTGATACAAATCACCCAAAAAGATACAAGTTTGCTACTGGTGTGAAGATGAAGGCTACTGGTGAATCAAAACTTAATGATGGCCCTGAAAGTGACTGGCTAGTTTGAACTGTAATGAACATCCTCATTAACATGCTGAAGACCTGAACTTTATTACATACTGTCAGTAGTGCTTTCACACTATCTATGACAATTTCACAGCCCAGATATTGCAAAGCAGACATTATAAGGCATAATGCTTGTGCTGAATCAGTTTTTACCCGTGTGAGTGTTGGATGTCTCCCACATTGGTTTATTGGATTTTCTTGTACAAACAGTGTTGTAACTTAATGATAGTATAATCACCATGGGTCCAGCCACTGACCAGACCTTGTCATTGTGTTGGTGTTTGGTTTTAGGTATCGTGCTCCTGAATGTTTGTTGACTGATGGTTACTATACTCACAAGATGGATATGTGGAGTGTAGGATGTGTGTTCTTTGAAGTATTGAGGTGAATAAGTTTTTAAGGTTGAACGTAAGAAGATGTAGAAATCACTCAATATAAGGGGACAGCTGAGTTGCAGCACATGTATAGTCATGATCAAATTATCACATGTTACTGTACCTGCATGCTTCATTTCTTCATGCTCATGATTAAATTAGCTTCATTGTTATGTTTTTTAAAACTGTTTTTTTAATGTTAGGTAATTATTTGTTCAACGCAGGGACAAGTTGAACAGTATTGTTATAATACAATTTTCTTTTAGACCTAACAATGATGTGCAAAGACAATATGCATACTTAGAGATAAAATATATTGGAGACAGTAAGATATTTGTCTCAAAGGTTACAAGCTTTATGGCAGGGCTCATAAGAACTGGTCGCCAGTGGGTGACTCAACTTTTCTTTTGTTAACCTTTTAACTTCAAAAGAAAACAACCTTACTGGTGGATGAAAGATACAATTCATTCGAATAGATATAACAAAACAAACCTGCGATTCTTTGATTGCCATGTTTGATTCTAAATAGTGCATGCACAGAGTGAATCTATCCTTTTGCTTTGCTGGAAATGATTCTCTCACATCGGAAAACTTCCAAATGGCTGACCATGTTTGAAATCGCCTTATAATGCATTGCAAACCCTTGAGCACTGAGTACGTCATGTATACCTATGGTTGTATCTCTTCTATTTAACTTTACGATCTGGTGACTATAAGTTTGCATTTGGTGACTATTTTTTACCACCCAGTCACCAAATGGTGACTTGAGGATCTTTTAATTTCGAGCTCAGTATAGACATGGCATGCTTCAGCTTTGTTCTGTAATCAAGTGGATTTTCACACATATTGTTTTAATCTCATCTTCCTCTTTTACTGAATATCTAATTACAGTGTGTTTACTGAAACCGGGGCCACCCAGACAATGAAAACCAATCAGATGGCAGAACTGCAACAATAGATCCCAACATTTTCAAATCCAGCCAATCAAATGTCCGGTACAAAACAATGAAATCTCAACTAGTTTGTTGTGATGCTAAGGCAGTGTCACTTAATAAATTGTCAAGCTCAAGCCATTAGTAGTTTCGGGTGCTTGTGGCCATGCTTGTGGGTTTAAGAGAAATTATATGCTGCACTTTCTATGCAGGGGTCGTTGGTTGGTTTAGAAAATACATGAAAAGAAAAGCTGCGTAAGAGTGTGACTCGTAAATATATATTGCCAGCAGAATGAGCGGTGCAGGGTTTGAATAATCTGAATAATGTCGTGGCTGTTTAAAAGAAACCTTTCAAATGGTCTCTGAGTAGTTTTGCATGTGCACAGGTTCGAAATGTCCTAATTGGAAAGGGATTATTTTTGAAGTAACCGAAAGAAGCTGAAAGCAAACTTCAAGCAGGAGAAATGAAAAGTTAACTTGATACAAAAATGGAAGTGTAACCTGAATTCTTTGTTTGAAATTTTTTCAATTTTTCCACCCAGGGGAGGTTCCTACGCATGGCGCTATTGTTTTTTGTTTTTCAGTGAGTGATTTTACACACTGAAGCTTTGATATAGTACAATGCGGAAAAAAAATTGTTTGAATTTTCCATGAAGATGTTATTTCAATACACTGATAACCCAGAAAGGGAACTCAAACTCTGAAATGTACAGCTGCTGAGACAGTGAACACGATGGTTTTTCCGAGAACTGCGTGGTGGATAACCAAAAGCCTTGTAAAAATAGAAACACACACAGACAACAGGAGGGGAATCTATTTTGTAAAAAAATTTTTAAACAACCATAAAAGTGAGGCCGTATGTTCACAATGGAAAACTGTCAATCTAATGAGTTTACTGGCACACTTGTCAATGTAAAATCTAAAGTAAAGTAACGCAATATTTTCTAATGCGAAAGTAGTAATGGCTTGAGCCTGACAATTTATTAACAGACACTGTAGTTGCGTAAGCATCACAACAAACAAGTTGGGATTTCATTGTTTTGAACTGGACATTTGATTGGCTGGATTTGAAAATGTTGGAATCTATTGTTTCAGTTCTGCCATCTGATTGGTCTTCATTGTCTGGGTGGCCCTGGCTTCAGTTAACGCACTGTAAGATGATGTTACACAAGCCAATTTTTATTGCAACGTACCTTATGTTAAAAATCTATATTGTGTAATATGGCACATAGGGTGAATTTTAATGTAACATTTTGTTGCTGCAATGTGTTGCAGGTGTTTTTTGAAATTGATTGAAAACCTGTAAAATTGTTGCCCCAATTTTGGATGTTGGGTTAAAAAAAGTCTTGTGTAACATACCATGCTGACCATTGGTGCAATAAAGTTGTATTAAAAGTTGTTTTGTGTAACATGGATTACTATGATTATCAGTTGAGTAAAGATGGATGGAGATGGAAGTTTGGTGACCAGGTTTTAATGTTCAAATGGTGTTGTTGCCACAGGCAAGGACTCTGTTTCCAGTGGCTACCAGTCAGCTTTTGATGTCATTAGCAGGAAAGCATGCAAAATTGTAGACGACGGCCAAAAATTTGTCACCAAAGCTCTGTCGCATCTTACTCAACTGATGATCGTAGTAAAAATCGGCATAAAAGTTGGCAGTAAAAATTGGCTTGTATAACTTCACCTTTAAGTTTATTTTAACTCTTACCTAGAGCTGTTTTTACATCTGCATCTAATACTGTGTAGAATATTTTGTGATTGTAACTGTTGATTGTATGTTCTTTTTAACAGCTTACATCCTCTCTTTCCTGGTTCTAATGAAGTTGATCAGATTGCCAAGATTCATGATGTCCTTGGAACACCATCACCAAACATTCTTAAAAAGTTACAAAAGTGAGTTGTCCTTTGACGATGACATTAACATTTCATAATTCTTTATTTCTTCATTGATTTTTTTCATTTTGGTGTAGCATTAAAAGGTTAGGGCTTAATTAGTCTACATTGGCAGTAGTTGTTACTGATCAGACGCCACCTAATTAACAAGACCATCACCTTTATGTTTGCAAGTTACAATATGCTAAATACTATTGACACTTAAAGTGTATATGACACGAAAAATATTTTTTGCTTATTTGAAAGGCCCTTCAAAATACAGAAGAACGACGTTTTTCTTTTTGAAATATCTTTTTTCGTTTTAGAAATATTGACGTTTTTCTATTATGCAAATTAGATCAGTGATGACGTCATATTGTTTGCAACTAAAAATGGTAAAATACTGAATAAACAATATCTCTAGGAATATTGAAGCAGTGTTCTTGAAACTTGGCACCCCAAATGTACATCACAAAAGAAATAAAATGACACCCTTAGTGGTGCTGCCATAGCAACTCTTTCGGCTCCAGTCTCTTTCTGTCAAAAAAACAAACATCACCATTTGCAACCTCAAAAGTGAGACAAAGGGTTCTACTTGGAACAGACATAGTTCCCATATTGTCTTAACTCCCATCATTAGATTGGGTGGGGTAGATGGTTCTTGGTTTAAGTCAAAAACTGGGAATTTCAGTTTTTATTAAGACAGCTCCAGCGGCATAACTGTTGTCATGGCAACAGCATTAAGGGTGTCATTTTGTTTCTTTTGTGATGTACATTTGTGGTGCCAAGTTTCGAGAACACTACTTCAATATTTCTAGAGATATTGTTTATTCAGTATTTTACCATTTTTAGTTGCAAACAATATGACGTCATCACTGATCTAATTTGCATAATAGAAAAACGTCAATATCTCTAAAACAAAAAAAGATATTTCAAAAAGAAAAATGCCATTCGTCTGTTTTTGAAAGGCCTTTCAAATAAGCAAAAAACATTTTTCATGTCATGTGCACTTTAAATAAATTCATTCATTCATTCATTCATTCATTTTCATCCATTCATTCATTATTCATTCATTCATCATATACAAATCATTCTGTAACTTTAAATTTTTTCCATACACGATGTTTTGTGCTGTATAATTAGCATAACATATAATTCTTAAACTAATGACATCCATATGAGTATTCAAGACTTTGCACTCTATGCAAATGGAAAAAAGAATTCCGCTAGACCAAAGCTAGCCTCTAATAAATTAAAAGTAAATTACTTTAATTTGAGCTACTCAGTTTATTTTACATACCCTATTTTACTTACTTTGTGTACTCATTGTATACCTTTGTCTTGCAGTAAATCGCGTAGCATGAATTTCAACTTCCCACCAAAAACAGGGACAGGCATCAGTAAACTGCTCCCACATGATCATGTCTCTCAGGAGTGCATTGAACTTATTGAGCTCATGTGTGCTTATGATCCTGATGAAAGGTAATAAATGAAAATTAATAATTATAATATTTTACCCTGTTTTAATCCTGAAAGTTAAACAATCTAAATGATTGTGCAGTCTGAATACTGTAGTGAATGGTGGAACATGCACTTAATGCCAAAATATAGCATGTGCATGTTTTATTACTAACAATTTACGAGCAACAATTTCTGCATTCTTATTGGCCAAGACAGCATCAATTAATCCAAACCAGTACAGAAAAGTACATATTTAGTGTAGGAAAGTGAAATTCTGTGCAAAATGGTGACATGGAAAATGATTAACAGAAATGACAGCTTGATGCAGAAACAAGCTTAATAAACAAAATTGCAGACAGATACAAGATTCAGACAATATAGCTACATCATAATGCAAAGACTTAGAATCAAAGCAAAGTGCGAAGCGGAATTAAAATTACTGTCATGTGATGTGGAAGATAAGAAAGACATTAAATTAAATGCCATAAGGACAAAACACAAGCAGACTTCAACATAGACTTGAAATATACAGCAGGCAAAAACTGCAGCATTGTGTAAATGGAAAATCTATGGTTATATTATACTTAAATAATTAATCAATACGTTGAAGTGAAATGTGGATAATGACCTACTTAACAGCCTAAGAACCAGTAAACTCTTACTTTTGAAGGCAAAAGCTGCAAGCTGAATATACTTTTATGAAAGGAAAAAGCTTACTAGAGACTCTAAGCTTATTCAGTAACAAATTAGCCAGTGGAAATATAGCCCATGTAATGCCCTGTGAAGTCAGGTTCCAAGATGGAGTTATAAATGATTGACCTGTGGTGAGAAAAACTGTTTGGGAGATTTTCCTGGGCTGTGTTTCTAGATGGCATTTGGTTTAAGCAGGACATGTTGGAATGACAGTGAAGTGTTCTCTGCTCTGAGCATTGATAAACACAGCCTTGACTTTAACAAACCCATCAAAATTAGCTAAGCTTAGAGAACTATTGTGACTACATTCTGGCCATTACTGATAAACAATAATTTCCCTGACTAAAGACTCCTTAATAATTTTGTTAGTGTAGAAAATGTTGTGATTTCTAGTACAATTTGGACTAAATAAGGAGTCTGGTAAATGTTCCAAAGACTACATACAATTTGAAAAACGTGGTAGCAAAGCAAAGGGGAAAATCCTTATTTAGGTGCTAGAGCAGTAATGAAAGCTCTCACTAAATAAAGTGCAATCTAGGTGTAATGCATTTTATGCTCTGTTGTAGAATATCAGCGAAACAGGCCTTGAGACATCCTTATTTTAGACAACTCAGGTATGTGCACTGGCTCAAAATGTTTAAGAGTGTGTCCATGAGAAAACCAGATACAACTCAAATCACTGATTTTGCTCAAACTTGGCACAAATGTTGGGTTTGGTGAGTAAATGATCACGGCAAAAACTTAGGTCAAAATATTTTTTTCCCTTCAAGTTAGGGGGACCCCCTCCAAAAATGGCCGTTTGTCACTAATTTATGCATATTTAATTAGCTGTCTTTAATTTAGTATTTCTACAACAAGAAAGGCCATGTAGGAATGAAATCCAATGGATCATGTTCTACTATTATTAATCTCTAAGCACAGATATTCATTTGAATCAGACAGTTTGATTTCTCTCTGTGGCTCCATCTTAAGTAAGGTGCATATTTTGTTGTATTGTGAATACCCTTTAATTAAAGGCAAATATCTGTCCCGGGCAACAGCAAATATGCTTTATTCTAACATGGATAGTGAGAGCAATCACTAAAGTTTTAAAAAAGTTATAAAATGTTTGGGGACTTCAATATTCTTTCTGTGCGGGCATACTGTTTACATTGGACTTAAAAATATGTAAGTGGTCGTTCATTTGTATCGTTTTTTTTTTGGAATTCAATACTTGTTCGAGTTGCAAGCTTTACATTTGTAACTTTCAGCTGTACTGAACCGACGGAAGGACGAATAGCAGAATAAACATCTTCAGTGTACAATTTGTTTGTTGATTTCTTCAACAGTCTGGTTCAAATGAATACCTGTGCTTTTCAATTAATAATAGCAGAACACGATCCAGTGGATTTCATTTTTATGTGGCCTTTCTTGTTGTAGAATTACTAAATCAAAGACAGCTAATTAAATATGCATAAATTAGTGACAAATGGCCACTTTTAGAGGGGGTCCCCCTAACTTGAAGGGAATAAAATATTTTGCCATGATCATTTACTCACCAAACCCAACATTTGTGCCAAGTTTGAGCGAAATCGGTGACTTGAGCTGTATCACCTCCTGCCTGGTTTTCTCATGGACACACTCTTAAAAGTATATATGAGCAGTTGTTACGTTTAATTTTGAATGATTTTGACATATCTTGAGCAAGGAATTTCCTAGAAGGGTGGGGTTACCCCGCTTAGTGTACTTACTAGGGTGGGCATAACCACTCTTGCCTATCAGCACTGCTAAAGAGTGTCAGTTGGCACATAATCATGCCATTACTTGTTCAATGTTAATTTGCCCAAGTGAATTTGTGGCATCAAAATAAATTGGCTTGGAAAGATCTCCATTTTGAAATTGTTTGGTCTATTGTACCTCCCCACTATAAGTAATATTACTGTTCCTTGACTGACCATCTGTACAAATTGCTACAACTTTTGAAACTTTTTCCTGATACATCTGCCATATTTTCTTAGTTAATGTAATTTCCCTGAAATAAAACTGTCAATACATTTTTGTTCAAATTTTGTCCACTGAATATTTATCACATGAAAACTTTAAATAATTATAAAATAAAAAACAAGGGGAGGGGGGTGCCCATGCTTGTTAAGGAGCAGTGAGGCATTGAAAATGTCCCATTTTGTCATTGTTTAATGCTTATTACAATAATGCATTCCAAGGTATGGTAAAATCTTTGTGAGCCCAGACTCATAAAAACACGCCTCAAACTACAGTCAATACTTGTGTTGTACACAAATAAACTTTTTAAGGTTGATTTTGACAGACAGCTGAATCCTTGTTAAAATATTGAATCAAATTGCTTGCCACGGCTATCAAACTGCAAAATAGAAAAGACCACAGTGCAGCTGTTATTTTCCTAATTTCGTCAATTTTCAGCAATAGAACTTAGATCAGTCTTTTCTCACACAAAGCTAATGATTAATTGATTAAAACGACTGGGAAAAAATTGGGGTGCCCGTGCTCGTTAGTGAGCTATAGCCATTTTTCAACTGACAGAACTCATTATCAAGGCAAATCCATGATGTTTTCAATGTGCACGTGCACGAGCGTGCGCTAGTGACGCTATTGCGCAGTAAGGATGCGCAATGCAAATGTGAGGAATCACCTTATTGCCCTGACTGTTATTTGAAACTTGACTTCTTGGATCCTGCATTTTTTTGGCTATTGTAGTTTATTTGAGCCCATGGTTTATTAGAGTTTATTTCACCTGGAATATGAATTTGGTGAGGTCTACCTGGGAGACTCGACATTTAATCGAAAGTGGGCTTTTTATCAACAAAGATTAATACTGACAGTAGATATGCAGTCTGCTAGGCAACTGAAATTAACCACTATGCTGATAGTTGCACAACAAGGAAGACCTTCCATATACACAGACAAACATCTGTTTTGCCCTTTTTGTTTTTTGACAAAGCTATAACTTTTTTCTAATTTCTTAACATGACAGAAAGATTGGTGTACCATGCACAAACATCTAGTTTATATTTGTGAATTTAAGAAAAAAGGGCAACAGAAATGGTCACCAATGGTTATAGAACATTAGTACTATATTGTCAGTAAGATATAAATGAATATTTGTACATTGCAGGTACATGTCTATAAATGTTGTGTGGTTAAATATGTTTTTGTTGTGTTTAAGTATGTTAATTGAATTTGTGCACAATATAACCACTAGTTTGCTATTTTTTCAACAGAGAGTTAGACAAGCGTCAAGCTGTCAATACACGGTTGTCGTCACCTTCTGAGGCATCAGTTATCACTAAGCCGCACCGGATGGTGAAAAAGAAGGTAACTATTCTTCCATTTCCTATTAACAGTGAACTGGGTTTGCTAGCATGCGTCCTCCATGTCGGTTTCAGTTGTGATACAAAGATAGAAGCAAAATTTATTCAATAAGGTGGACATTTTTAATTTAATTGTTAAGGATTTATAGTTAAGTGTGGAAAATAGAATGACCCATGGAAATGGGTTTGCAAGTTGTTGGCTTTGTTAGACATATTTTCTATTTTTTTCTTTTACAAGACTGTTATGAAAATAATCTTAGGGTTTGATATGAGAATGTGTTGTTCCAGAAAATATCCTTGCCCCTCATACCCACCCCCCTCTCCACGGAAGGTGTTTTGGTTTGAACCCCACTATCCCTCTGCAAATTCCAGTTTAGATTCATTTGACTTTATAATTTCAGATAAAAATTTGGTGTTTGAAACCCCCCTCACCTTGGATTTTCCAATGACCTTCCTTTGGTGGTTATGGATATTTGCTGGAACTGTACAAATTATCAAGACATAAGCAGAAGTTGTAATATTGTTGTGGTTTTTAATACTTTTGTTTAACTTGTGATTTCAGAGGAAACATGTGATTGGCCGAAGTCATGCCCGCTCACCCACTGAGGTATCGTAATGGCTTTATCAGTTATCAAGCATCTAGTCTGTTACACATAGTTACAACAGCTTGCATGGGTTTAGTTTGTTACCTTAACAATGTCCAAGAAAAGAAGCATTATTTTATCAGTTATAAATGTTAAGTTTACAGAAGAACATTGGGGTTGCAGTTTTGTGGTATTAGGCAATATTAAAATTCATGCTGTATTTTGATCATAATCTTGAATCAGGGTAATATGGTTGTTAAGAAGACAGTTCCAAAGTGGTGTGAGGTGCAAATAGCATGTGCACCAAAACAGTTACAGGCAGGTTTATTGTGTGTACGAATTTTTGCACTTACGTTTATGGGAGGGTTTTTAGACAGTTTCCAGTGAGCAGTTGTTGTGTTTCTTAAAAGAGGTTTTCTGCCATTTAGAGTTAAGTGTTTTACCAATTTGGAAGTGTTTTGGCCAATTGCCGCTTTGTTTACCACTCACAAACAACGGTATTTTCCTAACTTCTGGGATGCTTCTGAAGTATTCTGAACAACCAAAGTTGTTTTTTTACTTGTTGTTCTTTAGGGCTAATTTTTACTGTCCTATGACTCCGGACTAATAAGAGCAATGTGACTTCATTAAGAAATAACAAGATCTGTTAGATCTTAAAACCGCACTTATTTAAATTTAACTGTTTTCTTAGCACTACAGTCACAACGCAGTGCACATTCGAAAGTAATCCTTGATGATTCATTGATTACTGTAGACATCACATCACTTGATCAACACAGACTGTACTATTGCACCATCAGT